ACATGAACGAATAACATAACTAAATCCATAAAAGGAAGAAGAACTAACCGAATCAAAAGGGCAGACCTGTTTTGAAGGCTAAGTTGCTTCCAAATTTTTAAAAACTAATCTAAATTGGAATTTGCAGAAGAAAATATGAACAAAGGTGAACAAACCTAGGCTAAGGCTATGAACTAATCTGGAAAATCTGGAAAATCTGGAAACTATTGCTGAAATCTGGAAAATGCAGTCTGAAAGCTGAAAAACATGCTCTGGGCAGTCTGTGTGTATGTTGGGCAGGCCTTAAACTGTTCTCTTCTCTTTGTTTTTGTTCCCTTCGATGCTAGTAACCTCCTCCATGATCTTCTCCATGATCTTCGATACTGTTCCTCCATTTTCGGCATTGTTCCTCCATGATCTGGTAATGGGATTGCAGGTCTAGCAGTTATTTAATAGTTATCCAATTTTTATTTAACCTTATCTCCAACAACCTTAAAGATAACTACCTAAAAATCCTCAATTTCCCATTTTAAATCAAACTCAAACTACCAGATCCAATCTTATCTTCTGCCACCTAAGATCCAACCTCCTTGGAAATCCATTTGGGCCATTAAATTGTAAGCCAATCCAACCCAAATCCAACCTATTGATTTTCTTGATGATTGGGCTTTACCTTGACACGTGGCCCTACCTTATTGGTTTATTTTAGGTGTAAACAGGTTCTACATGAGAATAGGAATGTTGGCTTTTGGAATGTAGAATCTATATCTAAGACTACAGGGAACAGGTTGTATCTTTATTACCTATATGTAGGACCTAATTCTAGAATTTTGATAAAGCCATACACAATGTCAGAAGTACCATCAAGTTGCTATGTTGTCATTCCATTTTAGGATGTCAGCGAGGAAATATATGGCATGTGTTTGAGTTTCTTATTCATAATGACCTACATTTGGAACTTGCATATTGTCACTTTTTACACAGATTTTTTATTTTTTCCAAGTGGAAATCATGGCATGGCATTAGGGAATGATGTTATGCAGGACTTCATTACATTGATATTAGAATTTGCAAATGGACAAAAATATTTCTCTAAAAGCTTTCCTTGTGAGAATTTAAGGGGTTTTGGTTCTTTGGAACATGATGTAGCTAATGGCAGATTCTTCAATTGTCCTTCTATGTGTGAATTTATATGGTGGCTAGAATATAAGCTTTTCCACAATGACATTCAGCTTTCACTTGAGGACAGTTCTAATATGTTATTGCATGGTCATGTAGAAGATTTGTCTTGGGTTATGCCTATTAAATCTGTGGAAGTTATGTGTTGGGGTGAAGAGGAAGCTGTCAATCTTAATATTATAGCCTTGCTACAGAAATTCATTGAAAGTTTTGGGCAAACTCAAATCTCAGGTAAGAAGACACTGGCTTTCCTTACTCAGCTGACTGCTATTATTGTCACGCCTCAGAACCCAAATCTAAGGGCGAAACAGATGCCGTACACTTGTGAGAGGATCCCACAAATGCACAAGATTTAGAACTTATTAAATTCATAACGATAATCAATGGAACAATATGCAAAAATCTGAAATTAAAATTTATTCTTCAAACCTAATTACAATAACCTAAGTCCAAATATATGAGGCTAGTCTAACTCCAAGATAATCTACACCTGAAACACAAGTGGCTAGCTTACTAGCTCATCACTCCCCTCAGTTTTCCCACGTCTTTGATTTTAGTACCTGAAATGGTGGACGAGGAAAAACTCTGTGAGATAACTCAGTAAGTAAGAATATGGATTGCCCTTAATTAAAGTTATAGCATGCCAATAAGTCTAATCAGGTATCAAGAAAAAAAAAAAAAACGAGTACAAGTACGAGAATGAAATAGACGTCTTATCTATAGGTCATGACCAGTATTTATAAACCTCTCACTGGCGGGCATAGTAGTAACCAATGTATTATCCCACTGGCAAGAATATAGGATGAACCGATTCCTAACAATACATGTCGACATGTGCTAGCGTTTATCAACCTCCCACTAGCGGGCACAGTAAAACATGACCATATTGGAGACAAAACCAAGCAGGATTTAATAGGAAAATCATAATTTACAAATAATTTCCAAATCATCAAGGCAGTTAAGTAAACTCCAAGTAGGCATGCTCAACTCAATGAAAATGATAATAATTTCATTTCAAACCAATCATGTTCGTGTTTGTGTAAAACAGGTTTAGTCCCGCCACCATTTCAAAAAAACCATCAGAAATATGCTTTCAAAAACCTTTACCTCAAATCCAAAGGCATGACCATACTTTTACATACCTCTTCTTGTAGGCTTACAACAGCAAGTATTCAAGGTTTCAAGGAGATGGTGGTGACTTAGAACCAATTTCATAATCAAGAACAACAAGGTCACAACATGCCTCATTCAACTAAAATTGATCTTTAATTCTAGCACCAAGTTCTAGCCTAAAGGACCAATTTCTCCCTATCTCTTCTTGTCATTCTACCCACCAAAACCTTACTAGTATATATATATATATAACTCACACGCATAGTCATATATAAATTTCCAAAGATGATAGCTGACCTTCCAACATTTTTGGCAAGGAGCAGCAAAACTTGGCAAATGGCAGAAAAATTCTAAGGAAAAACAATGCTGAAAACAACAAGGAAAAATGCAGCAAAAATGCAGAATTTTTCTAAGAAAAAATACAAAATTTTCTGGTTTAAAAATAGTGCAAAAAATAGTTGGGGCGATGTAGCAAAAATGCAGAAGCAAAAGCAGTCAAGATTGCAGAAAAATGCAGCAGCAAAAACAACATACTTTTTCTGCGTGAATAGTAAAATTTTATGGCAAAAACAGTAGGGGAATCTAAGCACAGCAGCAGCTAAACACTAGATAAACACTATCACAATAATTCAAAAAGATAAGAAACGGAATACCCATAAATCCTATGCTATTTCCCCAAATCTAAAATGGTTAATATTCAACTAAATCTACCAAAATTAGAGAAAGAATGAGATTGGTTTGGTTTCATACTCAATTTTACCAGAAATTGTGAGTGAGAGAGACGATTCCTCCTAAAATGGAAGCCCAAAAGGCAGAGATAGCTAGAACTTTAAGGGCTAGCATCTGCTTGTCGAAAAGAGAAACCCAAGGCTATTGAAGGCAACACACGATTGCGGTGGAGTGGGGAACAATGAGCTGCTACTTAGGGAATTTATGAGATGTGGGTGAGAGGGTTTGGAGTGGAATTGGTGATGGGAGTTGGTGAAGGATGGAGAATGGTAAGGGATGGGTTAGGGTTTTAAAACAAGAAGAAGAAAAGAAGAATGAGGGAAATTGGGAGTTTATACTCTTGAAACCCGCAACCCTCTCCCCCCCTTTTTTTTTTAAACTCCACCCCCCTTAAGTTTGAAATTTGTGACCATTAGGCCCTACAGAAGATAGTTTCTCCCACATAAATCCCTAACTTAAATTCTAAGGTCTTCGAAAAATTTGGGATATTACAGTTATATTCACTGAGCATTCTGCCATTTCTTCACCAATGACTACAGTTGTTCTGCATAGAAAAATGGTGGATAGAGGTGGGAGAGCAAAATTAAAAAGTGTTCCAATGGCTAGTCGTCTATTAGCAAATTCCACCTGGAAGGACTTTCACATTTTGTTGCTTCAATACATGAAATTCCATACTTGGAGCAATGATTCATCTAATTATGGAAATGTAACATGGGTAGTCTCTTTTGATTTGCAGCAGCTATTTCCCATTTTTCCTAGTGAGACTTATGTTGAATCTTTGAAATTGGATGTGGTTCATGGAAGCACTCTAAATTGTTTCCACATGTGTCAAGGGTTTTTATGGTGGCTTGAAGGCAGGCCTTTTTGCACTGTTATTCTAGTATTACTCTTGGACAATGGTTCCTTGATGTTGGATGTTGAAACTCTTAGAATTGCCTCACGGAACTCCAAGATTTTGCAAATGAGATTGTACTTTGGAAGAGTTACAGAGGAAGTCTACAAGCTGGTCCTTCTTTATTTGTTGTTGCTGGCTTTCCAACTGAACATAAGGTTAAGTTTTCATGCTCCATTATATTTAGTTGCACCAATAGGGCTTGCTTTTACTTGTTTGTTGGAGCTCACAATCATTTTGCATAGAAAGATGGTTGATAGAGGCAAGGGATTAATTCAGTAATCTGGTGCATAACCCTAGGGTACAACTAGAGAGCATTCTGCATGATCTACCGCTGAAGTTTCTAATATTTCATCCTTAAGGGCAAGGATGTTCTAAAGTGGAAGGGAATGATATGTGGTAAATAAATAAGGCATGTGGGACCTAGATGATGATATGGCTGCCAAGTGGGATTAATTATATGTTGTTGTTTTATGTTATGTCTGAGGTCATTTTGAATAGGGTTAGGTTATTTAGCAGTTTTGTGTTTCATTTTGGAGTAGTTCAAAAATTTGTTCTTCTTCATCGTCTACTATCCTTTATCCTCTGTAATCTTCCATTTGAGAAACTATCTGTAATCCTTGGGTTTCAGAGTAATATATCGAGGAATATATCGAAAATCTTTCTTTCAATTTCTACTAGATTTCCCTTGTATTTTCTCTAGAGGAATTTATCGAGAGCTAATTAGGGCTTTCCTTTTTTTTTTCTCACTTATCTTTCATTTTAGCTGCATCACAAGGAATGGAAATCAAAGAAAACCAACCAAAGAGGAAATGGGTCAGAAAAAAAAAAGGTTTAATAGTCAGATAAATTTTAGTAGACCCATGGTCTATCGCTGGTGCGAATAGGAACCTCGGAATTGTGAAAAAAAAAAAAAAAAAAAAGATGTCACTTAGGAATTGAAAATGATATGGGAACAACTTTTTTATACTAGTAGAATTTATTTACATTTATGTTTTATTAATTATATTTATATAAAATTGTAATATTTTTTTATTAAGATTTATTTATATTTATTCATATTTTTATATACATACAATATATAAAATTTATGTATAAATAGTTTCTTTTTCTCTTTACATAATTATTTTTTACAATTTCACATATTCTTTAATAATTAACTTTTTTTTTACTTGAT